TAATTTTGATATTTATTATGTATTTATAACTATTCTATTTTTTTTTATAAAACTTTATTTAAATTTTCTTCTTAGAATTATTAAAAGCAAAAAAACAAAACAAAAAATTCTCTCCTTCCCTCTTTTACTCTCCCGCAGCCTCGCCTCTCTCTCTCTCCCTCTCTTTTCCTCATTTCTCTCTATCTCTTCGGCCTAATTTCTCTCTCCCCGTTAGAGTTAAATGCGCCAATTAAAATAGCGCATTTAGAATACACAATTTCTTTTCTTGTGCATTCCGAATGCGTTATTTTATTTGACGAATTTACTTCTTTTTAAATTTTGTATTAAACATGCTCCTCTCGCTAATTATGGGCCTTAATCTACTCCTTTCTAAAATTTGTCCCCTCCTAGATTTCATAAAATGAAGAGTGGGTCACAGCAAGTGCAAGCCCATATAGGATTAAAAGGAGACATAGGACTATCCCTAGAACCAATACAGATAACATTAAGAAATTATTATGTAACATCAATTACAACAAGAAATATAGCTATGGAAGCAGCTTTAATTTGCTAGTGACAAAGTAGGAACATCTATACGTAAAATTTGCCAAATAACAAACCTTCGGTGTACAATATAATTTGGTCAAATAGGTGAACTCTAAGGAGAAAAACAAATCTTGACAGCAGCAATAGAAGACTCATTACACAGTCAAAATTTGGCAACAAACTATCCAAGGGGTTACCTGGGAGGATGCCACCAAGGAGGAAAGATGGCTAGATCTCACAAGAAATAGAGAAAATAAAGGTAAACAAACTATCTAGAATGCTAGAATAAAGATTGAGTTCTAATAGATTGAGCAGAGGTGAAGGGAACCCGCCGACAGCAGGAAGCAAAGCCAAGCCAACACAAACAAATGCAATTTCGACAGTAGCTCATAAAGCCAACGCTGGGTCGTCAAAACTCGTAGCTAAAAGGAGCCAAAGATCAATGGAAAGCGCGATAGGCGAAAGGGTAGCAACATGATGAAGAAAAGTTTGTAGCGCTATTGATCTCGATATCCTAACTAAATTCAAAACATGCCTTACCGAAATTTGATAGGTTTGAATATTACACGGCGATGATTTTTAATAGAATTTTGAATATTGAAGAATTCTTCATGAGGCTAAGCAAATGGTCCCCATACTTTGATATGGCTAGCTAATGATTTTCCTATTGCTATGCTCTAGATTTCATTTCACATATTAAAGTTGGCCATTTCGATCAAACAATATTATAAACCCTGACTTGGCTAATCTTTTATGCACAAATATTCCTACAACTTCACTATAAAGACCTTCTATAGCTAAAGCTCTTGTTGATGACATAGGATATGTTGACTACTAAGAGAGGAGTCAATGGAAAGCAAAATATAAAATTGTAATAAATTGAGTTTTATACATCAAGTAAAATGGATATTTTAATTAAAGCTCAATTTATTTAATTATATTACTATAATTTGGATGCATGGATAATATGATATACAAATTATACTATTTAAGGAAATTAATACCTTCTTTTGCGTAACACGACTAAGTCCAGTTTCAAGGGTTTTCTCTAGTTGTTGTAGTTCTTGAAGTGTCAGTCCATGGAGGTCCTCACCCCTCATATTTCTGCATCAGATAATAATCTATAATTGCCTGTTTGATTTTTTTAGAATAGAGTTCTAAATCATATAATTAGTAAATCAATAAGAAGACCTTAGCTGGTGAGTCGCTTCAGCCACTTGATTGCTCAGTATTGTCATACTGCCATTCTCCAGCTATAATTAAAGGTCAAAACAAAAAATAAAAAATATTGCATAATATTTACTTAGGAGAGTAATATCTATGATACTGACACTGCTACAAGTTTGAGCGAAAACCATAAATTATTTTTTATAAAATTAAAACCAAAAGCAGCATATTTAGGTGTACGTTTTGAACTTCTAGTACCCAAGGTTTAAAATTGTGTAATCGGGTATTGAGGCGTTTTTCGTTCGTGAGGCGAGGCGTACGCCTCAAAATCAAAAATTGCGTAAACATAAAATGATAAATTTTTTATATACTAATGAGTAAAAAATATAAAACATAAAAAGACACAAGATATGAAGTGAAACCAAAATATCTCAATAATAAGACAATATGAAATATAGTTCAACTCACAAAAAAGCAGACTAACACTAGCTTTTAGGGACCAAAATATAGTTCAACCAAAATATCCCAACTCATAGAAAAATAGACCACTGGCTTTTAGGTTTTATTTTAAAAATTTTTGTAGCTCTTCTGAGCAATAGCAAGCTGGAGGTCCCTTCTAAGGACTTTGTAACCTTTATTTTGATATTAACGCGTAGGCCCCTCTGTTGGTTTTAACAAAAAAAATAGACTAACACTAACAACTATTAGTGCAATATATCAAAACCCTAAACATAATGCTTCATTTATTATACATTAAGAAAACTTATACAAAGTATGTACTCATGAAAAAGCAGACTAACACTAACAACTATTACTAAAGATGATGAATACAACAATATAACGGGCAGCCATGGGTCCAAGGGGGCGCTGCCCCCTGGCGGGGTTCGACTTATACAAAGCATGCACTCATTAAGAAGTTCATAGCAATATTTTTTTATTGTAAGAGTAATTTTGAAGTTCTGCTTATTTTAAAGTTCGTAAGTCTTTTGTATGGAAAGATATCGAGTGATACCGAGCATGTACAGAACAGTATCGAGTGGTATCGAGCATGTACCGAGCGGTGCCGAACATGTACCTAGTGGTACCGAGCATTGTTGTACTGAGTGGTTAGGTTTTGTTTTTAATTTTAAGAGACGGATGCCTCTAAAATATGAGGCAAGGCGCTCCTCGGAGAACTTGAGGCGTACGCCTCAATGCCAGCTCTCATTGTGTAGGCTTTGAGGCTTAAAAGTTTAAAATTACGCTGAGGCGCGCCTCTTATTGCACAATTTTAAACCATGCTAGTAACCACTTTTAATTAAGGAAATGACTACTAATTTTGTAATTTAAAGTTTTAGGTTTCGTTTGGGACGACTTTTTTGCTGCTTCTTTAACCATTTTTTATACAAAAATTTAAATTTTTATACTAGAAAGCTATTTTAAGAAGCAATAAGAAAGTCATTCCAAATGAAGGTTTCGTTTGGTTATTTTGTACCTTTTCTAAAAGTAGTTTTAAAAATATTGTTTGAGAGAACGGAATTTTACAACGAAGAAAACAAAGAAGTTAATATCAGAAAGCATTTGAAAACAGAACAAAAATACACTCTAAAAAGCATTTCTACAAAAATGGCACATACAAACAACAACCAAAAAAATATCTGCCATTTCGAAACTGAGAAGGCGAAATTATGCTGTCTCAAACAAGCTCAAGACAAAAAAAAAGTGAAAATGTACTTATATTCATACTCTTTTATAAAATATAACTAATGAAATAAATTGTAATCAATATGTAATTAAGTATCATATAGAACAAATTATCATAGAGTTAGCACCAAATGAATATTTCAAAAGCTAGAACATAAGAAAAGAGTACATCATTTTGTAATTGCAAGCACTAAGAGGAAGACACGCTGTTGTAAATATAGTATTTGTAGATACTTTACATAAGAATCTTTACATGTGCAATCTCTATCAAGGAATTTAGGCATTTCAATCCATACTTTGGAAATATCAAATTTTTATGGAGAAAAAAAAAGATATTTCCAGAGTAATCTCAAAAGTTATCATCATTAGGCGTTCAACTTATCAAGCTATTTGGGATAATAATTCATGGCAATGCTCGTATGTGTTGATTACCACATGAGATGTTAACTCTTTATTTGCATATACATTCCGTCTACCTTTTTAACCTCTTGTAATCACTTAAAGAAATTCTATAAGAGTACCTTATTGTTGCATCATTGGCTCTCAGCTTTACATATTATATATACCTACCTTATCATTCTCATTTCCATCACTCTACTTTGATTATCATTTTGTTTATCATTGGTCAATGCCCCTATGTCAAATCAATAAAGAAAGCTAATCCTATGATAGTTTTATAAAATTTTGCGTACAAATATCATGTATTCTCTTATCATATATCATACATGAGATAAAACTTTCTATTTAATAAAGAATCACTCATCCTAAAGAGCAAAAAGTGCCTTAATCTAGGTAATTTTATGATTAATTTGACAAATGAAACAACCAGCTTATAGTTTCCCTGTAGCTCTTCTTCCTCCCTCTCCCTCTCCCTCAGCCCCAGTAGCTTGTTCACCCTTTTCCTCCTCTCTTCATTTCTCTCTCACAGGCCCCTCATTCCCCAAGGGGCATATTGAGGGCTAAATCGGTAACAATTCTCTACCATAGCACTACTCTATAAAATTGAAATATAAAGCCATGTGGATGCGAACATTAGTAGCGGCTTCTGTGCAGAAAAATGTTTCTAAGTCATATATGAAGCTTAGACAGAAAATAAGTTTTGAAGTAGAAATATTCATGGATGAAATTAGCAACTTACTTGCAAATCAAGTGATGGTACATCAACTGCTGTATGGTCCTTCGAATGCACGTTGTATCTATCTATTATCTCCTTCATACTTCAAACACAAAAGCAAATGAAAAAAAAGAAGGTAGAAAATATATATATATATATAATCATTTTTGTCTTGGTGATCAGCTGGAACACATAATTACAGTTGCTATATTTAAATACTTAATCAAATAAAAATATCTGCTAAGCAGAAAATAAAGTCATTACTTTGATTGAATGAAAATTTATGATGAGAAGTCTTATATATAATCTCAGCCAATTCACAGCCTTATCTCATAAGGAATAAACATCAAAAAGACAAACTATTTTAATACTAAAACATGTGGTGACAAATTAACAAAATTTTGGAAAACGAAAAAATCTCTAAGGCTTCGTTTAGGGTGGCTTTCTTAATGCTTTCCTAAAGCAACTTTCTAGTACAAAAATTTCTAGTTCCATGCATGAAGAGAAATTATTGTACTAGAAAGCAGTAAAAAAAGCCGTCCCAAACGAAGCCTAAGACAATGTTCTGCAAAAGACGTATTAAGTAGTGTGGTTCCTTGAGAAGGCAAAGTTATAGTAAATGATTTAAAAAACTAACTCAAATATAAAGAACAACCTTTAATCTTCTTTTATAGGGGTCATCCTCAATTTATTGTAAAAAAATTGAACCATTTCTCGATTTATGCGTGTCATCCTTGCGCAGGGGTCTTGTTAATCTTCTCTATATCATTCCAATTGTATCTAATGTCTCTAAAGAGACAAAAGAGAGAGAGAGAAGAGAAAGTACATAACTCTAAAAAAGAACAACCTTTAATCAGAGCTGAGATGTGTTACTGAAAAAAATATAAAGGTTTTTCCAACTTTATTAATCCCTTAGGAAAGAGTTTGGTAACATCATTTGATGATCTTATAAAATTCAACCGCATATATAATAGGCAATCATATAGCCCGTTCTTTTGCCCAGTTTTCATTCCTTGTTAATTTAGAAGAGCCTTTCTAGTCACTTCCATATATTTACATACATAGAGGAAATCATTAAGGGAAGATCCCTTACCTCTTGGTGCTGATTCTTCTACTTTGCCTAAAAATGAACTTTACCTAAAATAGGTTACTTCTCTTCATATCAAAGTGCCTTGGCTCACTCATTAGCTTCAATCCCAGAGATCTCAGAAATTTATCTCAACAGACAGATATAATGAATTTCTCTGGACGTACCCAACGATCGATTGGTTAAACTTTTAATTAAAGAAGCAAACATTACCATTTTTCAAAAATTATTGTGATTAATACATAAAGCGCTTTTGTGTTATTATTTAAGCCAAATCCAGCCGAACAGTTTTGTTTAGGCTTTCTTAAATCATGCATGGAAATCTGAAATCCAAAATTTGGCTTTATTTGGCCAAAATCCTACAGTGAATATGGGTTAATTAATTAGATCCTCTTACTTGCACCAAAATAATTTTCAAGAATTTAAGATATTGATAGCCTAACATTATTAAGGATTAAGAACTCTTAATGTTTACTATAAATGTATTTACAAGGTTTGTTAAATCCTACTTGCTACTAATCAACTTTTAAAAGTGTGGTTAAAGATGATACTTTTAAGCTTAATTTTACTAAAAGTATCTTAAAAGGGGATTTACATACACACTAGGGGTGTCAAAACCAAATTTCGGGTCGGGTCGAACTGACCCGGGGTTCAAACGGGTCAACCCTAACCCGACCAGGATATGTAAACGGGTTGAAAAGTCTGACCCGGACCCGACCCGTCGGGTTGCCGGGTTGACCCTGAACCTGACCCGTTTTTTCAAACGGGTCGAATAAGGGAACCTAAACCCAATCCGTTTTGAAATCGGGTCGGGTCTAATCCGGATTTTTCGGGTCGGGTTTTCGTGTCGTGTCAAATATTGACACCCCTAATACACACCATATAATTGTTATGTATTTATATATCTAACTCATAAATCTTGATATATTCATATTTATTAATATAGTACCAAAGACTTTAAATCCCATAAAAATACCGCTAATATTAACTTTTCGAAGGTGATATACAGATTTTATGCATATGGTTTGATGTGTGATTGAGACACCTAAAATGTTATATAAGTAAATACAAAAAGTTTGCTCTTAGATATGTAAATACAAAATAATTATATGGTATGTAGGTAAATCTGTAAATTAAAAATATGATAAGGATATTTACAATTACACTTTTTAAGAGAAATATAATCGACAATTAATTAAGTACTGTAAAACTACTATTGAATCTATCCCGAGAGCATGAAAACTCTTGAATGAGTAAGGATTTAGGGAGATAATCACAAGAAGTAAATGATATTACTTAACTTTGTGCAACAAATGATGTCATGAAGAATATGCTTCATCAAAATCTTTCTAATTATTTAAAAAACTACCATCATGTAAGAATAAACTAAAAAATTTCTTAATGTATTTGCATAATACAACCAAATTGTCAAGAATTCAACAAATCATTGTGGATGAAAATTGATAGTATTGCTTTGCTCATTCATATTTGGGTTGCATTATTATAAATAAAAATATCACACACATGCATGCTGAGTTGGAAGAGCTGTCAAATGAATTAATTAAAAGGAAAAAGAAGGCAAAGAAATAGAGCAAACAATTTTATCTTTAGTTCATTAATAGAATTTTAATCTTTATTGTTAGCAAAAAAAATGTGGAAATGTAGTAATTATTAATATCATTTATCTATAAATAATTTATTTCTAAAACATAATTCTTTTTTTGTTATTTTAATTTTTTATCCTAAAAATAGTGTTTGTAGCCACACTCATAGCGTTATATATAGTTACACCTTTTGAAGGGTTGTGAGTAGTGCTTGTGCAAATAAAAGATTTAGCAATACTTTTTTTATAAGGGGTACTTAAGTGAAGATTAAGGCTTCGTTTGGGACGACTTTCTTACTGCTTCTTAAAGTAATTTTCTAGTGCAAAATTAAATGATTTAAGAGGCAATAAAAAAGCCGTCCCAAACGAAACCTAAGTTACACACACTTGTAGCTACAAACCATATATTAGGAATACTTTATTACAGTTTAAAATAGGCATGCGACTAATGATTAATATTTAGTCACCTTAAAAAAAGTAAACCTATAACTCAAACTTCTTGTAGTGATTATTTGTAAATGATGAGTTGAAAGATATTATTTTTCTCTAAAAAATAGAAACATGACCTATATTTCTATATATAAAGGGAGCTAAATGTCCAATAAACAGAAGAGGGCAAACCCTTTGGTTAAAAGGACAATGGGCAACACTCCTTGATTTTTTTCTTGAAAATAGAAACAAAATAAGATTTAAGGATCGAACCAATGATCTCAATGATAGAAATGGAGGTATGAACCACTAGGCCAAGAGGTTCTAATTGAATTAATTGAAAGATTGAGTATGAGGAAGATGATTAATAGATGCTGTCATTTTCGGGAATCCTAATTAACATGATAAATGGAGTTGTGGAGTTGCATTGGGCGCCATCCCAATCACTAATTCTACATGGAATACAACTAGGATTAATCAAGATTCATATTGTTTACTAAACCCACTCTTGTTCCAAGCATGCAACCGAAGCCGAAATAATGGCTAGAGTGGGGGCAAGTAAACACTACACTTTTAAGTTATAGTTACTTTACTTTACAAATGTGCTTCAAGCATAGTAATAATACTGACTTTTCATTAAATTATGACTAAAGCAACATCTTTTGCCACACTTTTGATTCTATAGTTGTATTTTCTAATAAAAAGGCCTTTTTCTTTGTGTGGTGAAGGTTTATTCAAAAAAATATTTAGCCAAAGCATTAGTAAACATTTTCTAAGAAATTGTACCGAACATTTAAAATGAATGAATAAATATATTTAAAGTCAATTGCATTTTAAGAAAAAAAAAATAACTTGATAGGCATTTAGTCACTCTACTTAAGAGAATGCCTCAAAATCTTAATACTACTTGATCATACTCGATCGGTCGATCCAATTATCATGATATCATCGATCGTCAACCTTATCCTAAAAATTAGCGGGTTACCTAAGCAAGTCCATGGACCTCAACCAACTCTACACTGCACTTCAATCAAAGTGGCAATTAAAAAGGCTTTGTAAGCATATATATAGGTTTAAATGTGTCTCCCTATTCTCAATAACATCAAACTAAAGCTAAGCATCTTAAGGCTTCAACTCTTATATGATGTATATAATTAATTATAACCACCACTATGAAAATGTTAGGAAATTTGGTATTAGTATACCCTAATATACTTTTGTATCATCATGAGAAATAAATGATAAAGCATAAACCCTAATAATAGTGATTAGCTTGAATAATGAAACAAACTACACTAAAGAATAAATAAGAAGGAATTGAAGATATAGCTTATATATATTCAAGCAAGAGCAAATTCAATTCTTGATTTCTTAAACAGTGAATTAATTTTTGCACTGTGGAGTCGCACATCTTCCACCCCTTCATCCAAATACTTCAATAATTGACATATTTAGCTAAAAGATCTCTCTCTCTCTTCTGGAAAAGAGCTTTTCTTGCTGATTAGGCAAAAGAATGACAAGCCACTACATGCAAACAAAGAAAAACATAGAGAAATAAGATTGATGATGGAATTATTAGCCAGAACGTACCTAGAAGTTGAGAAATCAAAGAGCTTTCCGGTCGCCGAGAAGACCATGAGCCCAACCTCTGCATCGCAGAGGATAGCGAGCTCCTCGGCCTTCTTAAATAAACCTCGCCTCCTCTTTGAAAACGTCACTTGTCTTGCCGTCGCATTGTCTATCTTTCTTATCTTTATCTTCTCCCTCGCCATCGATCTCCTTGCAAAATCAAACCAGAATAACATTTCATATAACTATCTATGTATATATTTAGATAAATACGTACATAACAACGTGCAAGACAAATAGAACAAGGTGGCTCTTTTCCCTTCTCGCAGAGGAAAATCAAGCGGGATTTTTCCAAATCGAGGCCTGCCGCAAACCCTAGCTCCTTTCGTTCGGCTAAAGTAGAAGAGAGAGAAAGCTTTAAAATGGCAGAAAACCTACCGCTTCAATCTTCTTCTTCTCTCTCTAGCTTCAAGTTCAGGGAAAAACCGAAGGGCCAATGGAACGGAGACCTGAGGACGATACACGCAGGCAGACGGGCACCAACTCTCTCTCTCTCTCTCTCTCTCTCTCTTCTTCTTTTCGTGAAAACAAATAGAAAAGTTCGTATCCCCACACCAAAAAGTCACCGCTCACATCTCCAAATAGAACTCTCATTCGGCGTCTTTATATAGATTTTAGAGAAACTAAAATTAATAACCCAAACAATTTTTAAATAGTTTTAATAATTAATAACAAATCATAAAATATTATATATATATATTTCTACCGTGAAGCTAGACGAAAACGGTTTTGGACTTATTGAGAGTTCACTGCATGGAAAGGCGGGATTCCGTACGACGGTGGGCCCTGCCGCTTTATTGGCCGGCGACCCACCCACATCGCTTCAAAGGAAATTCTAGCAGTTTTTTTTCCTTTTTGGCCCCTTCCCATAGCCCAATAATCTCATTCCCCGTAACTGAATTACCAGGCCTTATTAAAATAAAAGAAACAAATATTGTTTGGAATTATTTTATTTTTTTATTAATTTATTTTTAAATAATATTTAAAATTAACTTTTTAGAAAATTAATACAAAAATTATATATATATATTTTTGGACATTTAGGTTAATTAAGATAAATTGAGATTACATTTTGGACAGCTTTCTTAATAATTCTTAAAGTAGCTTTCTAGTAAAAAAAAAAATTGTATTAAAAGTTGTTTTCAAAGCGGCTAAAAAGCTGTTCCAAACAGAACCCAGATTATATTCGTATGACCCGAAATCAATATCTCTCAAAACTATCAACCAACAAATAAATATGAGTTGCGTAAACATATGATATGCTATGTGTGGCTAAATATGTCCATAATATGGCCAATCATTTAAGTCATTAATTAATAAATAATTCAGCCCTAAATATTGATAAATTGCATTTTTTTTAATATCGATAAATTACATATGATGCCATTTAGATAAAAATAGGGTAAATAAGAAAGTTTATTTTCTTATTTAATTTATAATCTTTAAAATAATATCTCAAATTCTCAACTATTATATTAACGGTTAAGATGGACCAAAAAATAATAATATAAGAAATGGATTAAAATTATTTTAATATTGTTTATAGTATAAGAATGTAAAAATGTTTTAAAACAAATAAATATAATTGTTTATCTTACGTTTAACAAATAATTAATTCAATTGATTAAAATATAATCGTACTTAGAATTAGTTCAATAATTAATATAAGCTCTTATATGTAAAAAAAGTTTATTTGATAAATATTTTGATTTCCTTGAAAATTCAGAAGAAAATTTATCTTTTATTGTGAATTAGTGATTTATTTGAAATTTTATGTAAAAATATCTAACTCTATTTTTTTCAAAATTCATTATTAAATATCAAACTTAGGAAAATGATATTTTAAATTTCTGTTTTAAATGAAAAAAAAAATTCTGAGAAATGATATGTCTATAAAAATTTTTTATGATTAACATGAATTTCAAAGTACGAAAATTTTTAATTAAAAATAAAAGAAAATAAATTCAGGATAATCAAAATTAAGTCCAATTTCGAGAAATATATAGTCGAATTGAATGTCTCGACAAGGCGAAACCATCAATGGCTCAATGCTACAAGTGATCAGATCTAACGCCAAATTAGATCAAATCAAAACTTTAATTATATTTAAACACTTTTGAACATAAGTTCATGAATAAAATGATATTCAACTGTGTCATACTTAGAGTCAAATCGAGTAGCTCAAATAAAATAATTTAATGAGCTCAAAATCACTCAATTTTGACATCATCATGACATTCAAATGTTTGATAAATTATCTATAATTATGTGAATCAATATAAACCATACAAAGAAGTGCTTTAGATTATGATCAATTTTTAATTTTTATTTTTTAAAAACATTATAAAAGTTCTTATTCTCTACAAATGGGTTGAAAGAAGTAAGAGTTCTCTTGCATATTCTCGCTTTCAATATCGATAATCATCATTAGCAATCACTGTCACCACTTCCAAACTCTTGTCAAGATTTAACCATGTCGTTAGATTTTTATCGTCTACCTATGAACACTTGATTTCCCGATAAGAGAAATCATATCTTCTTTAACTTTGATGAAGAAAGAATTCTTCAATCTCCTATTATATAATGGATTGCTACAACTAAGACTATTCTTATATTTTTTTCCCTTTTTGGATTTTTTTTTTTTTTAAAAACTTATTATCTCCTACAACTTTTTATGTGCATGTTAACTTTTTTAAAAACCTAAGATACAAAATACATATTCTACCGACGTAAATTTTTTAACATGTAACAAAAAAGATCTCTCTTTGTTATTAAAAAAAGTTTAAATAAATATATAAAATATGTATCATCTGATGAATAGAATTCTCTGCAGTAAATACATGATATAAGATGTATCGTTTATTACATCTTCTTTATGTTCATTCTTAATATACACTTTGATCATCGTTGTTGTAGGTCTAATTTTGAATTGTTTACTAATTTTCTTTTACATAGAATTGATATATCTCCATAAAACTAACTTGATGAGCATGAATCTTGAGATAAATATTTGATTAAAAAATTTTTAAGATTAAATTTACGATCATCCAAACTCTGATTTCAACAAATTTAAAGTTGAATTGAATGGCTCGATCAGGTGTATCTATCGACACCACAAATGATTCAAGTTGAGTCCAAATAAAGCCAAATTAAGCACTTGAAATGTGTTTTTGAGATCTCTAAACGTTAATTCAATGACCAAATTGTCAAATATAATAGGCTATCTTATAATCAAATTGTGTATCTTGATGAGACGAATCCAAAAGGTCTATGATCATTCAACTTTTACATTATTAAAACACTTAAATGCTAAATAAATAAAGTGATCAATATAAAGTTTTCAATGAAATGTTTCGAATCATGATAATATTTTTCAAAAAAATTCTTACATTAAAGTATAAAAAAGATTCATTTTTTATATATATGAGATTCGAGAGTTAAGAGAGTTAAAAGAACTCTATTGTATTTTTTAGCAAACACCATCAATGACTATCATTAGAAATCATTGCCAAACCTTTTTACTTCTCTTATTGTTGTTTGATTACTAACATCTAACATTATTACTAGACTTCAACTATCCACTTATAAACATTCGTAATTCCTACAACTGAAATTAAATAATTATTTTCAATTATATAATCATGTATTATTCAATTGAAGAGAAGAGTTTGGTATTGAACCACAAATTATATATTTGATTAATTCAGCTAGGTCATATCTCGTGATTTTTTCTTTATTGGATTTTCAACATAAAAAATTTGATCTCTTACAACTTTCATTTGAGTATTTTGGATCTTTGTATAAATAAAGTTAACATATAAAATACATGCTCTGTCGTCGAAAATTTGTTAACACAATACAAATATAATTAAATATTAATTGTGAGACATATTTTAGAAAAAATTCTAAATTTATTTCACTTATATTAATTTTATCTTTATTCCAACTATTCAAAAATTAGACTAAGGCTTCGTTTGGGATGACTTTCTTACTGCTTCTTAAAAATTTTGTACTAAAAAATTTGTTTATAAAGTAGTAAGAAAGCCTTCCCAAACAAAGTCTAAATCTTTTACTGATACAAAGTTGTAGGGCTGAATTTAGAAAGAATTTGGGAGAATATGGATAATAACTTAAGAACATGACTAACAGTCACAGTGGTTTGACTACATATCCAAAATTTTATTAAAGTTTTGATATTAATTAATAGAAGATAATGTATCGCATTAAAAAATGAAGCCACAAGGATAAATTTTTATAGCTTGAGCTTATTAGATTGGGCCCAACTACTGGGCTGAAGCGATAAATAATAGCCCATTTATAGCATAAACTTGCCACGGGCCGTTATGAATTTTCGTCGTTCACCTTTGATGGGCTGCAACGGATCATAAGGTTTGTACAGGGCTCGCTAACTACTTATTGGTTACTCAGTTTATATTATTTTTTATTATATTTAAAAATTAAATTTCATCATTAATTATTTATGATAACTAAAGTATCATCAAGTTCCTATTCCATTGCCCTCCTCCAAAATTCTTTAATCTAATTTCTATAAAAAATATGATTATTATTTTCATATATATGACTATTATAATAAATTTTAAATTTTATTAAATATTTAATAGTTATTTATTTATTAAATATGTGTCAAAATATAAATTTAATTGAGATTAACAAACAATGTGTCCATAGAACAAGAAACTTGGGAAAGGATAAAAAAAAAACCTAATTGATTGATCTAAGTTGAAATAGCTTGTACTAATAGAAATAAGCTTAAAAGGATTGTTGATGAAGCACAATTATTAGAGTATTCTGACTTCATGAACCTATGTAACCTATATTATTTCATGGAAATAAATTTGCATGTTATTATTTAATAATTTATCATCTTTTTATACATGTGTTGCCTTTAGTTTTAAGTAAAATGCTATTTATCCAAAGTTTACGGGTTCAATACCATTCATTTAAAAAAAAAAAAAAACTTAGGAAAATGATTAAGAGGTGCCAGCTAGTGAAACCGCTTCTCCTAGATGCCCACAAAGATCTTATATTTCTTATATCAAACTAAAAAATCGAGCACTAGACTGTCCGAAGGCAAATCAGAGCGTGTCACATCACCAGTACACAACACTGCAAAAAAGTGACATGACACATTCTGATTTGTCTGCGAACATTATCCGGTGACTGCACATAATAATTTTTCCAAGCTTGAGGATTGACTTGACCATGCCATGATTATATAGGTGATTATAATCGCCCTATAACTAAAAAAATTCTCAAAAATACTCTCTAAAGTGCCTAATCTCAAATATTATTTCTATCTTAGTCAATCTTATGATGTCAACTGAAAGGTTGTAGTTATAGAATCAACATCAAAGAGCAGGCCATAACTTCACAACATAAGATAAGAATAATTTTGATATTTTCTCCAACACCTTGATGATCACCATTTTAGGTTTTCTTAATTGTTGTCGTCCTGAATGGTGAGCAGGAGCCATCGTCAGAGCAACTATGATATTAGCTAGAATTGCATTTTCTTATGTAGAGAAAACTTGTTTTAAGCATTTACAAATGTGAATGAAGCATCAACTCACTTGCTCCAAACTTCCCACTTGAAGTCACAGAAAATAAGCATTTCTATCATCTCAACCATGCTGTAAAAGCCTATGGATTTGCATGCAATCACTTGAAAATTTTTGTTCTGAAGTAATTTTCTATTCACGAGACCCAAAGAAGCTGTAGATTTCCACTGCATTTGCTAGCTATATAATCTCCATTTCAAGTTTGAAGCAGAGGAACAAATCAATTTGATGTATATATATCACGAACCAGAAACTTGAATACCAACAATTTGCTTTTCACTTGCAAGGTAAAAAAAAAAAGAATTTAGTACGTAAATTTGGAAACGAAACCAAATAGCTTATGACCTATAGAAAATGTAAATGAACAGCTACCTTGCTCCAAAACATTCATGGATCGCAATATTAGTTCTTTTAGATGGATCTCTTGTTTGCCTCAGCTAATTATTGGATCTGGTCCATACTTCAGCTCAGTAAGGTCTTGTACTCTGCAATTGCTGCGCCTTAGTCCACAATTATATGTTCAACAATATTTACAGAAGCAATGCCATGAAAAATTTAAAATAAGCAGCAACAATGCAGCCAAATCATTGGTTTGCTTTTATTATTCTACTAAAGAAGCATTACATGATACAAATAGGGGCGGATCCACCTTAAGCCCAGGCCCCCGGAAAAAAAAAAAAAATCTTATTATATGATTCATTAGGTAATTTGTCATCCTCAATGTATTTTTTAATTTTTATTACAGGGGTTTTTAGGCAATTGCCCCCCTAAAAGTTTTAAAATACTATGATCTTTAGGCAATAGCCCCAACATAATTAAACACATTATGTAGAGATGCTTTAGTTATGGTCAAACCTCACCAGGGGGCGCTGCCCCTTGGACCCCCGACATATCTGCGAATCGTACAATTATCGAGGATATGAACAAATAGTGGTCGAGAGGTAATGCCCTCGGAACAAATTTTCATTGTAACGATATTTATGAAAAAAAAAATTCTACACTTTCACTTATAAGTTTGCCCCCTTAAAATTAAGGCTGGTTCCGCCCTTGGATACAGAAAAGAAGAAGAAAGAGAAGGAACAGCAAAGTAAGAACTCATATCCCTCAATGAATAGTAGGAAAGGAGAAATCCGCAGACACTGGCAGGATTTCCACGTAATAGATGTGAATAGATCAGAGAGTATTCTACTTCAATAATGTTCCTCCAAACTGTTTGTTCAGACGCTGGAGTTTGTTATTTATTAAATTTTTATGTATATAATTATCACATTCTCAACCATGTTATGAAATATGTCTAAATTGCCACGCATCATAAATTCTGCATAATTTCTCTGTTCCACCTCTCGAGTAGATGTTGTATTGCGTTTATACCAACACTCTGATCATATGGAGTTTCTGTAACGCCTCTTACATCCCACTAATCACAGCAAAAAGAAATCAAGATAATCGATTTCTCCATCAGCTCTCACGGGCTTCAAAAACACTATAATGGTACAGCACTTAAAACATAATTGGCATCTTCTAAATCCGTTTTGCTTGACATATAGCACACAAATCACTAGTGCTTGTATGTCTCCGAATCTATTCAGTTATAATTCTGATGGCTAATTTGAAATCCTGGGATCTAAATGACTGACATCCTAATTAGTTCATTCGACATATTATTTCTTATTATTAAGTAGTTCTGTTTGAGTTCTGAATCAGCTTAAATTAGGTTGTTCTATCGGAAATAACTATATTATATATTTAACAGTGTAGACTATCACTATTGCGAAGTATGATACGTTAGAACTGAAAAAAAAAAAAAATCCACGTTCTTCACTTTCTCTATGATATATTTACAATAAGTTTGCCTTTATCTAAGGCTTCATTTGGAGCGCCTTTCTTACTGCTTTTTAAAATAGCTTTCTAGTACAAAAATTAAATTTATTTTTATTAGAAAGCAGCTTCAAGAAACAGTAAGAAAGCAGTCCCAAACAAAGCCTAAGTTTAGATCACTGATTTTCACTATACTAACGTATGCTTTTATGATATGTGATAACATGACTGAAACCAAAATGCAATGAATGCTTAATTGGACATAGAAATCTAATCCCTGAGAAAAAAAAATAGGATTTTTACAAGTGGGGTTGCGTAATTTCAGCATACCTTTGCCTGACTTTAAGTATTCCAGTGCCCAGCTGCATCGGAATGCCCATTATGATGCGCTCACTCACTCCCTCAATGTGGTCATCCCTGCCACTGTATGCCCCATTAAATAAATGCTCGGACGTTTTCTCAAATGAAGCCAGCATCAAAACACTGTTTTTCATTTTTGTGAGCCCAAATCTTGTCATACCAAGCACCTCACCCTGTTTGAAAGTAATCAAAATTTATCAGGGAAGTGATTTTCCTGAGAATGTTATCAAATATTTATGAGAATGAATGAATGTGGATTCCTTCTAAAGAATTAATACAGGAGCTATAAGTACAAGGCTTACGTTCTTCATAGCATTAGAAAATATAGAGGTTAGAAACTATACTTTGTAAGTCATTAAATCAGCAAGGAGCTTCATATGGCGGATATCAATGCTCATTCCATGTCCATCCATAGTAAATTTAATTTCATTTATAATAGTCTGCCTTGCAGCTTCAATACCAAGAGTTTGACATACTTCAATAACATGATTGGTAGTGGTTTTGCTTGCATCGACACCTGGAGTGCCCATAACAGCAAGATAGTTTGTGCTGCCAACAAAGAAATGCAAAATTATATTCAAGCAATTCCCTTGTATGTATTCAAAACTTTAGAGCATATAATCATGGAAAAGAGACAAATAAACTAGTCATTTATCTTTACATATATAACAAGCCATGGGAGAGTTGTTGAAACTGTTTTCTGATTTTGCCCCTCCAAACTTGGTTAGGCAATCCTCACTAACATATCATCTGAATCTATAACAACAATAATAACAAGATTTTATCCCACTGCATGGGGTCGATTATATGAATCTTTTTTCTCCATTTTATTTCTCATTTAAATCAAATTAAAAAAAGTAAATTTTAATACTTTCTAACCAAATCTTTTTAGATCTACCTATGCATTTCTTAATATTGGTTGAATCTAATACATCTACTCTCCTAAGAAGATCATTGGATGGCTGATGTTTTATGTGATCATACCATTTAAGGCAACTCTCTCTAATCTTTTTTGCCATTGGAGCTACTAACCTCTTCACATATATACTTGTTTCGCATTTTGTCTCTAAGTGTAAAGCCACTCATCCACCTGAGCATTCTCATCTCTGCGAGACTTAACATGATTTTCTGTTTTTTTAATAGCCTAAATTCTACACTATAAAGCATTACAGGTCTCGCCAAAATCTCATAAAATTTTCCATTAAGTTCAAGGGATACTTTTATATCCACAACATGCCCGATACATTCCTTCACTTCAACTATCCAACTTGAATTCTAAAAATAATATCCCCATCTATTTCACCATCTATTTGTATGATAGACCCAAGCTATCTTAAATGTGCACTCTTTTCAATGACTCGTTCACTCGTAATATCACAATCCCATCACTATTATTAATACTAAAATTACACTTTATGTATTGGTTTTAGATTTGCTCAAATGAAAAATTTTAGACTTTAAAATTGACCTCTATAACTAAATTTTTCCATTAAATCCCTCTCTAGCCTTATCAACAAGAAGATGAGCTCCAAAAAAATTTTGGGCATCCCAGCCCTTCCTCATAGTTCAAGGAGAGTTTTGACGGGTTAAATTCCAGGAATTTTTTTTTTCCTAAAAACTGATTGATTAGAGATAAGACACTACCCAAAGATTTCGCCCCAATTATGCAATGAGTTTAAGATTTGAGTTCAGCTTTCCCATAGGCGCAAATCCATATAGTTAATAGCCCCTCCCAATGAGAGAGAATACTTTCAATTAAGGCTAATCCTTAAAAAAATATTTAATACTTGGTGTATAGTAATAACAGTTTTAATATTTAAGATTTAAAAATATACCAGCATTTCACATAAAGTAGATGATGGGGAAAATGATGACGAACCCGATTAAGATCACATGGTTCTGTTGTTCTGAGTTGTCATGATCGGTAATCTACTTAGTTAGAGGACCAAGTCGACATAACATGACCGGAAAATCTTTGTCGATAGCCATGGGTTACTTAGTACAAGGGTATCTTGTAGACCTGAAGTGAATGTTTTCCTAGGGATAAGTTCAAGTTGACCTAATAGAGGGCTTTACGCCCAATCAAGTTTACCCTATGATATATTACTTCAGGGTGATAACCATTGGGGGACATACAAGCTCTGTCATTGACCTTAACATTGTGAACGTATTAGGCCAAACCACCTAGTTAAAGGATCTCGATCAAAACCGTTTGCTAAGTGGAGCCGTTAGGCCAAAACATTGGTTAAGGACACGTGCCACATCCTTATTGCTAGGGGTGTCAAAACATGTCAATAGGTTGAATTCAGATCCAAACCGAACTAAATTCGGTCAACTTGAACCCAACCGATTTAATAGATGGGTCAAAGAGGTGAACATGAACCCGACCTGCTAGCTACCAAAACCAACTCGCTCGCAACCGAACCCGACATGATTACTTGTTTTTATTAAAAATAATGTTTTTATTAACCTTTTAACCATATATTTTAGGTTGATTAATTTAAAATAAGAAGATTATATTGACAAATAAAAAAATTAAAGAAAAAATATTAGATGGGTTGAAATCAAGTTGGCGGATCAACTCGAACTCGATCCGTTTATAAATAGGTTGGAATGCATGAGCCAAACCCGCCCCATTTATTAAATAGATCAACCTAAACCTATATTTTTTGGGTCAGGTCATTTATTAAAACCTTTAATGTCAAGAGATTATTTGAGAATGAATTATAGTAATATTTTTGACAAGACATTCACTTTTTAGGAGTTGAAGTAAATTTGATTTCATCACCCTCGCCAAATGTTTATGGAAGATGAATAAATTATTGTTTAAAGTTATGAGTGATTAATTTATATTTGAATATTTGTATTGTGAAAGATGTTAAATTTTAAAATGTTGATAAAATTTCAAAATTAATCTCTCTTGTTGAGATTAGCATTCAACATGTTCATCATTAAGGCTATGTTAAAGTGATTTTATATTTATATTTTATCAGGGTTTAAAGGTAACATAATAGAATCCTTTTTTGTTGAAATTTATCTTCAACACAAGCATTAACAAATGAAATTGAAATCATTTAAAATTATTTTTATTTTATAGCATGAGAATTTGATTTTAAGAATTAACCTTTACTGCCATGAGATTATTTGAGAATGAATTTTAGTGAAATTTCTTAAAGGACATTTACTTTGTGGGAGTTGAAGTTATTATGATTTCAACACCCTCGCCAAATGATTATAGAAGATAAATAAATTTTTGCTTGAAGTTGTGAGTGATTAATTTCTATTTTGAAAGATGTTAAATTTTAAAATTTTGATAAAATTTAAAAGTTGACCCCTCCAGTTGAGATTAGCTTTCAATACGGTCATCATTAAGGCTATGTTAAAGTGACTTTAAATTTTTTATATTTTATAAGAGTTCAGAGTATAGGTATAAAAAAGGGTTTATGGGTCGGGTTAGGATCGAACCAGGAATTGAGCTGGGTTCAAACAGGTTGACCTGGACCCGACCCTTCGAGTTGACCCGGCCTGACCCGCAAACTTGGATCTAGTTGAGCCGAGCGAGGTGCGGGAGGATGTGCTGGCGAGCCATGCTGGTGAGCAGAGCGAGTGCGGCAGGGCACGCGGTGCGCTAAGCACGTAGGCACTAGTATGGGTGGGGCTCACGGGCGTAGACGCCTTTGCGGCAAGGCGTGCAGGAGGCAAGCTTGAGTTTGGGTGAGACTCACGAGCGTGGGTACAGGTGCGGCAAGGCGCACATGTAGCAAGCGTGGGTCAGGGCGGTGCTCATGGGCACGAGTGCGTTACACCTGGACGCAGGTGGAGTGCAAAAAAACAAGAGACATTTGTTCATATTTGCTAGATTGTTTGTTTAAAATGTTCATGAAAAAATACAATATGAATTATAAATTGTTTGTTCGTGAACGAGTTTATTTGGCAGCTTGAAAACACTAATTAGATATGTTCATGAACTTGCTCATCTGATAGATCAAGAATACTCGTTAGATATATTCATGAACGAGCTTGTTTGATTGTTTAAAATTTTTGCTAGATATATTCACGAATATACTCGATGTAATTATTTGTTAGAAGACTCGATAAGGCTCATTTGTTAAATTAATAAACATCTAGAAGTAGATCTCATTTATAGCTCGTTCAGGCTCATTTGTTCAAAGCTCGATAAGCACAAAATGAATCGAACATAAACCAACCATGAATCAAACATGAACATCCATTAATTTAAACAAACCAATCTTGAACAAAAAGAAAAAAAGCTCGAATCGAACTCGAACCGAACTTAAACAAGCAGATAATAAACAAACTCAAATATGAACACACACATACTCGACTCGTCTTGGTTCGTTTGCAGCCCTACCCACGCAAATTTCTCATACTTTCGTATTTGATCGTTAAGCACATTAATGGTGTACAAGTAGGGATTTTAAAGTTCTTTTACGTGGCACAAACACTTTCAATGCATTTGCACAATGCACTTAGATGCTTTTTGGTGTAGTTAAATTGCGTGCTCTCATGCTTTCAATATATTTGCACGTTTTAGGTGTGCTCATGCGATGCACTTGTATGTATTCCGATGCTTTTGCATATCATATTCATATGCTTCAATTTTCTTTAAAATTTTCAAATTAAAAATGTAGCACGTCTTTCAATGCAGTCACATACTTTTCAAAGTGGTGCACTGCACTGAGTTATCATAGCATGCTTATGCTTCATGAGGCTACATAATGCTCCTTGAGGTGATATCCTTGGGTTTAAAAATTTACATGTTAATATAAGCAGGAATTTATAAAATATTCAAATTTAGTAAATTGCGTGAGTATTGGCTATTGGAATATGCACAAAATCTAATTTTCAGGCCTAACATATGCCATATATCAGCTTGTGTGTTGCAATCTGGTGACGTTAAATGCAAAGCAGATTCTATTCTTAGAAATGAAATTCATCCTTATATAAATCATTTTAAAGTGAACGAGTCCCACATGTCATCTTCTCTACTCTATAAATAAAGTGGGAGTTTAATTACTTCTTTTATTGCTGTTAAGCTCACTAATCAAGTCCCTAGGATTTGTTATTGTTCTAGTGACAGTGGAGAAATTTTGTGCTCTCAAGTAAGTTTTTCAGAATTTCATTCCAAGTTCCCTAAAAGCTCTTTTTTAATCTTGCGAATTTCATTTATTTGTATTTTATTTATTTGCATTTTATTTTAAAAATGTTATTTTAAGTCATGTTTCCTATGAGTGGCTTTGAACTAAATTTCAACAATCTCTCGACATCATTCTTGTTTAGGAGAAATTTTGGAGAGTTTTAGCCTGCCCAATATGCTAAAAAAGAATTGCATAGTCGGTGTTAGCTGATGTCACGGCCGGGGACTTCAATCAAACAACATCAAAAAAGACGAGCATGGGTCTTTCACCTGCACGAAAAGACTAATTTTCTCGCAATGCTAGAATTACGCAAACAAATACTTATTTTGCAAATTTTATTAGCACATTTGAACAACACAAACGAGTATTTAAATTTAGCTTGTTGTGCTAAGAAAAGTGCTCACAAAGCTTACATGATGAATCATGCTAAAAAAAGCATGCATGGATTCTACTCATGTTGAACACGTCACGATCAGGATTTTAAGCTTTAAAGTGTTTTGAATTTTATACTTTCGCGCAAGGCCAACCATGAAGATAAGACTACTAGAAAACCAGACATTAGAGGATGAAGGAGGCCTACAGCTCTGGGCTTGTGCGAACTAGGAGCAGGTGTGAAAGAGTTTATTAAAATGTCTCATCCATATATATTGAATATCCTCTTATAAGATGCTTGTGTTTGAACCTTTATTAATCTTCAATCTTATTGCACTTCACTTGAATTAAATTTTTACTCATATCTCTTTGCTTGGCTAATTTATACACACCTTTCATTCTTTTATATGATCTATTATAAAAATTACTAAAGCTAAATTCTTTGCATTACAAATTACTTAGAATCTTTGTGGGCCACCATATATCTTTCCCAATATTTTCAAACTTTTACAGCTAACCAATTTTGATAATAAAGCTTTTATTTTTAATCATTCCTTATACATTTTGATTCCACCATAAATTATTTTTAATAATAGAAGCTTTTCATTTTTATTCTCCAAAGTACATACTTTACAACTTTTTCAGTATCACGAACTATTTTTCCCCACATAATATTAGCTTCCTCATGAACAATCCAAATTTTAAGATATTGAATCCTACCATAAAATATTTTTATTAGCATTATTTAAATATCTCTAAATAATCCTAGGACAATATTCTACTTTATTTTTTTATTTTTTACCCCTTCATTTTAAAGTCCAAAACTAATAAGCGATGTTGCGTAGATAAATTTTTACTCGAAATAACTTTACAACATTTGCAATCTAAACAATTTATTTATTTTTTAATAAAAAATAATCAATTTTAATTTTATTATGCCCATTCTTATAAGTGTTGAGATACACATATACTTTCTTAAATAAAATATTAACAATTACAAAATAATAGGCTAAAAGAAAATCTAGTATGATCTTATCACCTTCGCTCTAAACCATAGCCATCCTGAATATTTTTAAAATTTTCTACAGCTTTATCACGTATCCATTTAAGTGAACACAAAAAAACTCTTTTTTAAGAGAAATCTTTTGTATTAAATCTTATAAATCATGCCAAAATTTTATTTTATAACACATCCAAATCTACTTGAGTATAAACAATTATAATATTAATAATCTTAACATTAATAATAATATTTAAAGCTGTAATTCTATTTCCAATTTTATTAATTTCTATAACGTTAATCTTCAAATTATTATTTATAATCATGCCTATATCATTTCTAATATGGCTCCTACTTGAATACCAAAATTTAAATCCTAAACTATCAATCTCCTTAGCATTTTCCCTAACCCATTTAGCATTTTTGAATACATAGAATATTTATCTTCCTATAAATCATAATATCTATATATGATGCACCGACAGACCTTCATAAGAAGGTATGTAGTGTCAGACACATACATGTGTCTTACACAACTGGGACATGTGTTGGAATAGCTGAAATGTGTCCGATTAAAATACTATATAAGTAGAATCGAACATGCATGTCCAACACGTGTCCCAATATTTAATCATAAATTATTTAAAATAACTTTTTTAATATTTTAATATCATAATTTATTAATCAAATGTTTTCTTACTATCCAGCCCAACAAGCCCGATCCTGATCCCGTAACAAACGCTCGCCACATATTTCCCCTTGGAACATCGCCTTGATTGTTGCAGGCATGGGCGTTTGACATTGGATCCTTCATCTTTGAAACGCAAAATTGAGAGCGTCCGACATTTGGTGTGTGGAAGGTAAGAGGAATTTTTTTTCTCTTGTTTCAATTATTCCAAACTTAAATTGAAACTATCTCATTGCATACACAAACGATCTAGCTTCTAAGGTTTGGCACTAAACTCCATAAAGTCCAGCAATGACAAGGTCATGACCTTGCTCGCTAACGCACGAAGCTTGATATGTTAAATCTAGGTCTGCTATGTCGAGTTTAGAGGAGTTTTATTTTTTTCACTTATTTATGTTATTTTAATGATAATTTTACTTAAGATACTTTGTTGCACATAGCTAACTTGTTTTAATTTGACTTTCATAGTACTTGAACTATCAAATCATTCTTTAGAAGAATCTAAATATTAAAATCAATAAATAAAACTCTAAGCAATTTTAGCTGCAAACCCTTCCCCCTAACAATAACAATGAATGATAAAGTGAGAGAAATAGGTTTGGAAGGCGAAAAATCTCAAACTGATTAAGCCAAGCTATAAGGCTAGTGAACCATCAACAATCACGAGGCTGTCAAGAGATGATTAGCATAGAGATGTTAAAGAAACGCAAGGCAAAGCTTAATGTCGATGCCAAAAAAGCATAAGAAAGCGAGGTGAAGAATAAGCCCCATATGGGTAGGTCAAGTTGTGTTGTAATGGAATACATCAATTGGCACATGAGATGGATTGTCATCAAAGAATGAACACAAGCAAGATAGGGCTGCTAGGGAACCCATGGGAATGATGCATGAACACAACATGTCAAAGGTAGTGATGAGTGAGTATAATATGAGGGAGCACAATGGCGAGGGAGAAAATCCACAAGCACGAGAGAGCAATGCAGGTCGCAAGCATGAGCACAAGCGAGTAGAGTGGGCTATTGAGCATAAGCCCACAATCTAATGGATAAACAAGTTTAAGATTTTTTTTTTTTTTTTTAAATTATACTTAAGCAGTTGTAAATATTTAAGGATTTTCTTTTGTCGAAGTAATTCCAAGAAACAAATTTGGGATTGCATAGTCGAAGGTCGTTAGATTTCTTTCTCCTGCTATACATAAAAAAATATTTCACGAGTAAAAGTCCAAAATAATCCCCTGGCTATTAGTATATACCCAATTTAATCTCAGACTTTTATAATACCCAACTTAGTCCCTTAACTATCATAAAATGTCTCAATTTGATACCAAAACCAAAGGTAATAGTTAAAGTTAACTCAACAGTTAAATGTGAGGGCATTTTAAGTATTAGGGTATATGTGATTATGTTATAATTTTTATATACTTTATCATTTATTATATTAAAATAAATACTAAAATCATGATGAAAGTTAACCAACTAAATAACAAAGAGTGAATAATTAATAAACATGTGTAAGTTCCAGTAGGATTTTTATATTTATTTTAATATGATAAATAATTAAATATAAAAATAATAATATAATCTCACATACACTATAATACCCAAAGTGGCCTCACATTTAACTGTAGAGATTAATTTTAACTATTACTTTTGGCCTTGAGATTAAATTTGGATATTTTCAAAAAATCGAGGGACTAAGTTGGGTCATCATGAAAGTCTGAGATTAAATTGAACATTTAATAATAGTCGGGGGACTATTTTAGCCTTTTACTCATTACTTAAAATCATATTTTTTTTCCGTATCTCTTAAGTTTTGTTGTTTCATTTCTTTGGTCAATATGTTCAACTCTATTACGGTTGAAAATTACATTTCATAAGGCAAAGCTAAAAGGTTCTATTTTTTAGTTTCTCAAGACGAGCTTCATTCAAAAGCTAAGTTTTTATGTGATAAAAGAAAAAGATGACTGATTTAAGGATATAGGGAATTATAAGCATCTTTTATTCTACCATTTTGAGCTAAGGAAAGATCTGAGAAATTTTTTACATTATGGAATCTTTATGTTTCATCTTTGTTCTTCCTTGAATGAAATAGTTTGGCTTGATGTATCCAATTGACAACCCTACTATTTATGCACAACACATCATTAAAGTGCACACAGGAACTGCATAAAACCAATGTCCCTTGGAGGGGGTAAGAATCGCACCAACAACCATATTAAAAGAAATGAAAGCAAGGATGCTAGCAATTTCATAGGTTATATTCCTCATAGAACCCAAATTTTGGTTCAACACTTTGACCTTTATTTTTCAGTGCCAACCAATTCAGAATCGCACCAACAACCATATAAAAAGAAATGAAAGCAAGGATGAAAGCAATTTCATAGGTTATATTGCTCATAGAACCCAAATTTTGGTTCAACACTTTGACCTTTATTTTTCAGTGCCAACCAATTCAAATTTTCATTTGCAAAGGTTATCAATATCTTACTACCATCAATGTGGCAATTATATAACGAAATAAAGGTTGAATTCCCTTAAAGAAGATTTATTTAGCTCCAATGCTGAAAGTTTTAGAGGTCATTTTTTACTTGCACAAGAACAGTAGAATAATATACGAAAATAACTGAATAAATTGGTCATTAAAATACTCACATAAAATAAAATAAATCATTATGGATGAGACTAACATAAACTAATACGCATAGCCAAACCTGAATATGATAGCCTACGTTAATAATCTTTGAAAACTTACCAAACTGAATCAAATTCCAAAATCAAAGCAGCTGCAATTTGCCCAACGATAAGATATGCTTAAATGCATAAAAAAGCCTGAGATACTAACCCTTCCACAAACAAGCTGTACAATTCTTTATCTTTCTTGATGACCGCACGTTTCACAGTTGAGATCCCCTGCATGCCAACAAATAAGCACTTATCAGTTCAACCAAAAATCATTGATTCGTGCCTGGCTAAACATCATATAAAAGTTTTCTAATAAAACGTCATAATTTTTGTGCTTCACCTTCACAATAACTTTAGGAAGCAATGTATTCATAGAGTGCAGCGGAAACAGCTGGTCTTTGTGAACAAGTGGCATAGAAATTTTCAACTTATGGGAGCTCATTGTGATAACATGCTGCGATGACATTACACAAAGAACATACTCAACCAGAATGAAATGCACAGCAGTGAGTATTTTTTATTGGATCTACTCACCTCAGGTTTTAAACCGATTCTTGGATGATTCAAAATTGCAAATCGCACAGATTCAGAAGAAATTCTCATCTGCAAGCTTTCAATTCTCTCCATGTCGAGTACAACTGATATATATGTTTGACTAGGCTTTAGCACAATCTTTATACATTTAGAGACCTGATTAAAACAAATGGAAAAGCCTGATAATTTCTCCTAATAATATTTTTTATTACATATTAAGAAAATGAACAAGCATTGCTAATATCTTGGGTTCATGCTAGTAAACGAATAACACTGCAAATATTGATGAAAATAAAAAAGAGAAGAAAATAAGTGAAACAAAAACTCATATATGAAAGTTATCGTGTGTCATCTCTATAGTTGTCATTCACCACTCCAAAATATGTCATAGGTTTAGCAATATACCCTCCTAAAGATGATTCAAAACTTCTAAAGTTAATTCTCCCAAAACTGGCTTCAAACTTCGGCTCAAAATAGGTAACTAAAGATACAGTAGGGAAATAAACATAAATAACGACCTTGTCCCATTGTGCCACCCTCTCAACCAAATAATAATGTATTGATATAAAATATGGCATCATGGTGCCAAGGTTAGGTCTTTGGCGCTAAGTGTCAGTATTGCTACAGCAAGTATGGTGCAGTGGAGCAATTTTCCTGCCAAAAGTTCTGAAATTGGCGCCAAAATTGGCGACGTAGCACCGTCTTCTCTAAGAAATATTCAAGGTTACGATGGAGCTTGGCACCTTGGCGTCAGGTGGCATGCTTTTGCATCATTCTCTTTGTAGAAATTTCCTAGAGTGGCGCCTTAGCACCATCACTGCAATCTAACTCTAATTAGCTCCAAATATGCTTGAACGTCAGTTCACTTCATGCATTAAACACTAGATATTGTAAATTACATTCTACACTATAATTTACCAAGTATCTACGCCATCATTTACATTCACTTTCGTATATAGAAATTCTCAAAAAATAGTAAAAATAATGTTAAAAGCACAAAGATTTGATGGAGTCAGGGGCGGATCCAACCTTATCCAGACTCATTATATAAAAAATTCAATACTAAAAATTTAAAATATATATAAGCTAAAATTCTAAAAAAACATGACAACAATAAAATATGGTCTAAAATTTGAATATTGAGTAGAAACATAAGAGCATAGGTATTAAAAATTATGCAATATGATATACTCTATGATGCATATTAGTGGAGTTATTTTAACTTATTCAAGCCCCCTATTTTTTCCCATTTCATATTTCCACACAAAATGTCATCTCTAATTAATTGAATATAAATATTTTAATAGGTAATTTAATAAATTCTGATTATATTAATTAAATTATAATGAATATAACATAATAGTTGAATTAATCATTAAATATAATAAACTTTATGATATAATTTTATGAATAGAAATTTATATTTAATTAGATTTATAAATTTATAAATTCATTCTTATTAAAACTAAATTCCGAAAATTATAATTATAAATTTATTGCAACACACTTAAAACTTGAAGCCCTCGTCTTTCTCCCCCTTCCTCTCCTACCTGAAACCCTAGATGAAAGGGAAACGAGGAAAGGAAGTCACAACGGAAGCTCGCTGACAAAGGCAACTTTGGTAACGCAGGCATGTGGCGGTGTTGTGGTGTGGTGAGGATTCACTTGTTTTTTTTTTTCCTCCTCTAAATCCCTTAGTAAACCCGAAATTTACAGAAAAATAGAGGTCAAACGGGATTTGGGAAAAAAACGTATAAATTCTTTTGGCCATTCAGACCATTTGGCAGGATTTATCATAAATCCTGCTACTAAACAGCACCTAAGCCCTTATTTGGAAAGTGTTAAGGGTAGTAATCTGAAAGAATTAGCTATTAAAGAATGAACTTGATGATGAAAGGTCAAGAAGCATTGCGCAGATAAATCCATTGTGACTATCAATAAATCCATTGTGACTATCAAAAACCAATATATGTGTTGTATTCGCATGGCTCTAATGCTCATGGCTATAAAAGTTCTTGTGCAACGGAAAGCAATAAATAGCTCCTGAAAAATCAAGAGAAAACAATAAAGAAAAAAAAGGAATGCATAAATTAAAGTTTCCGGTTCTAATCTTTAGCAAAATTTAACAAAACTGTAGATATACTCTTTATCGCTTCGACCTCTTCTACTTGGAATGCCGAAGGGTTCGACCACTGGCGGACTCCTACCACACGCGATTTGCCAAGCCGTTTGGATGGACAGGCACGCGTGAGATGGGACATATTAGGGAAAAAAAAATTTGAGAGAGAGGGGGGACATAATTCCAAAACTATCCCTCCTATACTCGTTTTTTTAGGGTGCGTTTTGCCCACCCTGAAGTGAGCAGTGATCCGCCCATGGATGGAGTGACCAATAAAATCTCACTCAATCGTTTGGCAAACTTAAGTGTCTTAGATCAAAGAGATTTTCTCAACAGATCCACAAGTCAAGGTAAAATTAGTTAGCCCTTACTAAAGGAAAGCATCAAGTTGTGTTGGGCGAAAGTAAAGTCACGACAGAACTAAAACAAACTCAAGTGGCCCAAATCAAAGAGGTCTTCTGAACCGGTCTACAATTTAAGGCAAAAATGAAGATATAGCCTTTCTTATGAAGCATCAAGCCAAGTTGGGTATCATTGTCGAAATGCAGCAAGTTAAATCATTGGCTCTACTTCATTCAATAAGTCAACTAGCATCAAACAATGACCAAAGAAATGTACATGTCTCCTTCAACAAGTTCGAAAAGCACAGAATAAGGATTGAAGGAATACATTTACCCTTAATAAGTTCAATAAAGCATGAAACACAAAACTGGAGGAACAATAGCAAAGTTCACTTAGAGCTGAAGGTTGAACAAAGAGATCATGTTGTCAACAATTTTGCTAGAGCATGAAGCATCAGGCAAAAAATCCTTCACAATTAATCTAATATATGCCTCAAGGGTTGAGTCACTAACACAAATCCTGCGCCAAATTCACCAAAGCACAAAGCATGCTCTTTTCACTTGATACTTCAGTAAAGTAGAATCGTGACCTTTCACCTTAATTAAAGACAGTAGCAAACACATTTTTCCGACAAATATTTGCCAAAACCTTAAATACATTGACACAAGTTTTCTTCCACCGTCCATGTATCAAAAGATCTAACCAAACGGATTTGTACAAATTAAATAAAGAAATTAGAGTTCCACTTTAGTATTGTTCTCCTATCAGTTATGATGAAATGCAGTCATTTTCCATGAAAAAAATAATGGGAAAAAAAGTTTATAGTCACCTAATAAATTTAATCTAATTTTCATGAACATCTTCTGCGCACATACCTCGCCTAGTGTAGTTTTCTCAAGGCACCCTTTAACAATTCTTGCTGATAAAGCCTCACTGCTTGAAAGTAGCTGGGTTTTAATCACAGGTGTACTAATATTCTTGGCAGCATTTATAATTTCCTTGATGCGAGGCACCCCAAGGGTAATATCTAAAGGTCGTCAAAAAACAACTTTCCAAATTCACAATAAGTTGATAGCAAGTAAAAATTATGAGGTCATGCAAAGAACAAATACAAGAAATAATTTCAGTCAATGTTTACATGTGTTCATTCCTATGCAAGGCAATACCAATATAATCGAGCTAACTCAAGCTCAAGTATGTAAATGGTTCAATAGCCAAGTTTATCAAGAAAACAAGGCAAGCCTAAACCATAAATAAACTCAAGATTGAGCTGATCATGACTTGGCTCATCTGTCCAAAAAGCACATATAGGGGAAAACTTCAGGCAAGATGAGTTTGCAATTATGCAATTTCTTTGACCTTTACAACAGTAACCAAAATAAAATCTAGCACAAGGGGAAAAAAAAACTGATTCCAAACCCTAAGCATTGACCTCTAAAAATTTTCTATCCTTATTCTCCCGCCGCATTCTACGCCAAAGTTTTGCATTAGCTTTTCCATTTAATGTCATTAGCATCCAGCTTTAATGGATCACTACAACACTGCTCTCAGATCTGTTCCTCTAGCGCACTCGCAATATTAATGTTCCCATCTAAACCCTTATCTCATCCATCAGCTTCGATCCATAAACAAACTTAATGAATAAACCTGTCTGTTGCAAGAGTTAGTTCACATAGAATAAGCCTTAGCAAGATAAGCATGCAACTACGTGATTTATTTATACATTATAAGAATAACCAACGAGAGTCAAGCCTTAGAACAAAGTTTCCCTGAAATACTTGGCATTGGACATTGCCCCTCTATCCCATCCCTCCTCATCCCACAACTCTTTCTTTAGAGAATGCATACATCTGCTTCTCCATCAGATCTCCTAAAACTCTCCACCTCATTCAATGAATCACAATCACCGCTCTTACATCTCCTCTACCTCAATCATGGAACTAAAATACTATGGCATCCCTTTCCATCCAAAATATTCTATCCTCCAAAATTTTCAACGCATATCTATCATAAAATAATTGCAAGCAAACCGATTGTCATGCCCCAAGATCAAAATTTGAAAGAATTGCATATTCAATCTCTTAATTAATCTAAATAAAACTCAGCAAAAATGAGCATGTAAACCAAAATATTTCACTATATTCATTATTCATCAAAATGCATTTACACTACTCAAAAGCTCAATTAATACATCAGACTAACCATCATTACTCTTGACAACAAAAAAATAGAGCAGAAAGTACACAAATTTATCCTGAAAACCTACAATCAAATTAAAATCATTCCACTTTATCCCTACCTGTACGTAAAATATGAAAATCATAGAGTGAGCTAATAGCTCAAAACCCACAATTGCTATCAATGCACGATTGTTGAAAAAATATGCATGTAATCATTCGATCCATATTGGTATGAACAAATAACAATCATTGTAAACAATATGGATCAATATGATCAATCTTTATGAGTAAACAATGCAAATTAGTACAATCAATATGTTCTGTCCAAAATCTATTCACTTCGAGCTTATAAAACATCATAATGCCCACCCCACCCCCTCTCTTGTTGTGAAAAAGAATCGGTTCAAGAAATGAAATGTCTACTTGAAAAGTAGACGTAACTAATCATTAGTGGATTGATAAATATCATTAAAGGATACTCATGCTAGCAACTCCAGCAAAGTGGAAGGTTTTGAGCGTCATTTGCGTCCCTGGCTCTCCTATACTTTGAGCTCCAATGACCCCAATTGCTGCGCCTGCCTCAAGCTTTTTTAAATAATAACGAGAAATGCATGTTTCAAGAAATACCTACAAAATAAACTTTGTAGTTTAGCTGATTGATCTAGGAGTTGGGAGTAGCTAGAAAAGATTAGTTTATCCAAAAAAAAAAACAGTTGTGAAGCAATTTTTTTTTTAATCAACAAGATTTAAAGGCATGAAAATATAAGTAAAATGACTATCAAATGAGAACCCACTGAAACAACCTATTCTTAATATTCAGTCATGTGTTGTGGCCAATAAGGAATTGGCAATGAAAAGTTTGTACAGTGGCGAGGTAAAGGAAGCTTCGATTTTCACTCAACTTAAAAAATAAAACTAAATCTGAAAAAAAAAAAATACATAAGCTCCTTTGGTTTCTTGAAATTAAAAAAACTTATTTTGAAACTACATATTTTCAACTCTAAAAACCCTTCAAAATCCCTCAATTTTAAGGATTTTTACACAGAAAATGAGAGAAAACAAATCATTACTTTCTAAAACATTTTTCCCATCAACCTATGCTTTCAAATGAGCCCTTATACAAAATAAGAGAAATTTAAATTTGGGTAAGCGAAATGTAAATCGATTGAACCACCAATCCTTTAAAGATTAAATGTTATTCAATAGAGCAAACAAGATCAAAACTGATGAAGGAATATGTTTAAAGATTTAGAAAATCCGTATCATCACAAAATGAATGCCATAACTTGTTATTTTATATGGGAATTTTAATATGTTTTATAAGACCAAGTATATTGTCACATAACTAATAATTCTAATCTTGTTTAAGGTTACCAAGAAAAGAATATTTTATTGATCCCATGAGCTAGTGAAAAATACTACCTAACCCCTAAGGTCATATTTACCTTCTCTTCCACCATCATTCAATATCAATAGTACTATCATTTGGGCCATACTCCACCATAGCTTCAATGGTTTATTCCTACCTCTTCCTCCGTCATAAATTTGAATGTAATGCTTGTCAGGTCAGCCCAATATACATTATCTAGTGTTTTTTATCTTCATTCACATCTAGTGTCTCTTTTAAGTTAGTCCATTTCAATATTTAAAGTTAAAGTCTTGTACTCACCCACATAGTCTTTTCAAATTTGTTACTTTCACTGATGATCATTCTCATGTCACATGGGTATATTTACTCGAAGTGTTGGTCAAAATTATTTCGAATTTTACACCTATCAGGAAATGAAAGTTAATTATTCTATTATGATTATCTTCGTACTAATAATGCTTCAAATTTCCTACCTTCATAATTTAGCTCATTTTGTATTGAAAATGGGATCAATTATCAAACTTTATGTCCCAATGTATCCAAACAGAAAGGATTATTGAATGTATTCATTGTCATCCATTCAATGAACCTTGCACATTCGTAATTTAGCTATCAGGAAATCAAAGTTAGTTATTCTATTATGATTAAGGATCTTCGTACTAAAAATGCTTCAAATTTCCTACATTCGTAATTTAGCTCATTCTGTATTGAAAATGGGATCAATTATCAAACTTAATGATTATTGAATGTATTCATTGTCATCCATTCAATGAACCTCGCACGCCGATGTTACATATGAATGCTCCACATCAATATTAAGGTAACAATGTGTTGATAGCATGTTATCTTAAATTGGATCCAAACCATTGTGATTAGTAATGTTACCCCCTTCAATATTATGTACCTTGGGTTGTATATGCTTTTGTATTGGTGACAAGTTCTCTCTTAAAGGCATTTGATGCCCCTTCCTAGACTGTTCTCACACCATAAGGATGTATTTGTTATGAACACACTAGCTAACGTATTTATACCTGAGGATAAAGGCTTAAATGAGAATTTGACTCTTAACAAGACACAATGGAGAAAAAGAATTCATGTAGCAGATTAGTGGGATAAACGCATGTTGTTGTTGTTGTATATTTCACTTTTCTCAAGTCCTCTCCCAACTTATCTAAATCTCCTTGTTATGATTCATCCTCTCTACTTAATCCACTTCCTCCTACAACCTATACACATTTCTCTGCCCCTACAAGCGCAAACATGACAGCCTCCCAACATCTACAACATAGTTGAAATCATATAGTTAAAATTGGTTTAAGCATTCCTATAATGTAGAATACTCTCATCTCCATGTGCTCATAACCCTTCAAGAAATTAAGACATTACTTTGATCACCCTACCTGGATTAAATGTCATTTGACCATTTTTTATTTATCTTTTGATGTTTTGTTGTATCCTTTCCATGCTTTCTATTTCCAGGAAATAGGCATTATAGGATATTCGTTAAAAAAAGGCTATGGTTGAAATGGCTACCTTGCTTAATTGGCATACATGAATTTATTTACCCGTCCTTTAGGGATTTATTCAGATCAATCTAATGATGATGGGTGTACACCATCAAATTTAATCCTAAAAACTCAATTAAAAGATAAAAAGCCCACCTAGTTGTGAAATGTTTTACGTAATTCTATGTGATCAACTATCTTGATATATCTTTCCCAATCGCAAGGCTCAACTTAGTCTTAATTCTTTTGTTTGCCATCATCAATTAACGAAGTTCTTTACCACAAATAGATGGGAGTAATATTTTGAATATATGAAGTTCTCATTGAAGTTGCATATATAGAGAGACCAGAAGGGTAAGTAGCTTAAGAGTAGGACAAAATATGCAAATTTAACAAGGCCATATATATGTACATAAGTCATTGAGCTTGGTTCGATAACTTTTACAAAATTCTTGTTAAGGCTCGCCTTCACAGCAATGCATCACACCACAGCATCTTTGTCCAACATTACTCATTTGGTTTTGTTATATTGGAAGAATTGTAGATGCTATATCCTTCTTGCTAGGAGTATCATAACAAAGTTACTAAAATTAAATACTACCCACAAAAGTATTTTTCCAATTAAAGATTTGGGTCATCTCAAATACCTCTTGGAAATAGAATTTACTTGCACAATAAAGAATGAGCTCCATTGTCTCAAAGAAAGTATGCAACTTACCTTCATAAAAAAACTGGAATGTTAGAGTGCAAATATATTTACACTTCTACTGATGCGGTGAAGTCTACAAATAAAGAGAAAATGTACACAATACTAGAAATATCAATTGCTATGGAAGTTGTGAATTAGCATAAACAAACTTCTAAACATGAATATTGAGATGTTATTTTGAGTATCATCACACACATCAAGAACTAACCGAAAAAAGGACAACCATATTTCATAATGTGAAAGCTTTCAGTAATGTTGATTATGTTGAGTCTATTAATTTTAGAAAATTCATATCCGTGTATTTTATCAATATGGGAGTAAAATTTATCACATGGAATCGAAAAGAAAACAATGGTGGCCACTTCAAGCAATAATTAGAATATAGAGACATAACAGACTCTGCATGCGAGATGATGACAACCATGCCGATAAATTAGAATATAGAGTCATGACACACTTTGCATGTGAGATGATAAGGACCATCAGGTAGAAATCCAGCTTTCTAATTGCTCAACGTATGCTTTTAATTTGTGATAATAATGCTGCTAACTATATTACTAATAATCATGTGTTTCATAAAAGAACAAAACATCATAAAATCAACTGTCCTCTTGTTTGAGGTATAATGTTATCAAAGATGATTGTTAATGCTCATGCTCCAAGCTGAAAACAATTAGTTGATATAGGCTCTAGGTAAGTTCAGTTTTTCAAGTAATAAAACAAGCTAGAATTAATTGATATATATGATCTGTCTTAAAGAGTGAGGGAGGTTGTATGATATTGGAAATAGTAATGTAGAAAATCACTTATAGATATTTCAATTTAGGTTTTATAATTGAGGATATTCTCCTCCTAATTTCCTTCATTTTGTATGAGCTTCATTTTCGTATATAGACACTATTACGAGTCAATAACACAACAAATTTTTTCCTGCTCTAAGAGCTTGCTTGCGACAAAATAGACATAATAGTCCTAAAGTAAAAACATCTTGATAATCAGAAATAAATTGTGACAAAGATCAAAATGATCCCAAGACTATTTATGAGAAGTCATTTTAGTGCTATGCTAACATGTGTCTAATTTAGTCTCAACACTACTCAAATCTCATCCAAAATAGTCCCTTGACTTTTTAAATCTAATCCAAAGTAATACAACAAAGGGATTATTTTGGATCATATTTGAGAAGTTAATTGACTAAATTGAATACATTTATAATTTGAGCCTGAAATGGCTTTATACAAATAGTCCAATGAGTATTTTGACATTTTCTCGTAATTAATCTATAGATTTGACAAGTCATTTAGCTCTAAAAATCTACAAGTTTCCAACTAAATAATTTAACCAGCTATTTGGAATATGTAGAATTGTTAACATTTTGATTTTACCGTCTAAAATATTATACAGCTCAAAATATGCAACCTTAAACATAGATGAATATTAGCTTCATTATCTCCAAAAGAAGAGATATAGCATGGATTCATATTAATATTGCTTTATGTTATTTTTGAAACTCCTATTATCAAGAAGAGAAAATTCTAGTGAAGATGAATATTCTTAAGAAGAGCCCGCTCATCTTCGATTTTTAAATTACCTGTTTGATTTTTACCTATAAAAGATTATTAAAAAGGTTTACTAAAGTTGAAAGAAATTAAATAGTAGTTCTTTATTTAATTTTTTAGATTGGAATGTTTACTAATGCTCATCTTTGACTTCTCTAACAGTGCTTGCTAATATATTTTTTGCACTTATTTAGGATTTAGAATGAGAAACTTCTTGATAACCAGTAGTGGAGCCAAAATTCTTTTCAATCCAAGTAACTTAAAACTTTATGTTGTTTTTTTACCTTGTCTTTCAATGTTATAAATTTGTCAACTATGTTTTCATTCAACTTATATATGAAGAGGTATTTAAAAAGAAAATTTAAAGGAGATGATCAGACAATTTTATGTAGTGAAACCAATGCACAAGTTAACAGAGCTGTGTAGAAATAAATTTAATTTATCTTTCTACCCGTCCCAAATGAGGAAAAAAAAGATCATCATTC